GGTTCTTATTTAGTAGTAGATATCAGCTAAAATATGCATCATAGTAGTTGTACAGTACTATACTTGAGTTATATCATTGTCTTAATTAAACTATATTCATAAGAGGTCACAACAGGTTATATTTAGATTACTTGGGGTCCAAGTTAGATCACTACAGGTTATATTTAGATCAAGTTGATTATTTCATACTACTTGTAAGCTGGGATAGAGCTGACAGATCACTTATTATTGTATTATTTAGATACTAACAACTATACTTGTTATTGGAGCCAAGTAAGAAAGAGTTGCTTGATTTACTAGACAGGTATCCTATTTATATATTTTGATATATAAGAGTTTTAAACCTGGATCTGAAGTTTCAAACTCAGATCTGGAGTTCCAAACCCAGATTCTAGGTTTCAAATCCTAATTCAGATTTCAAGCTTGTACATGTCAATTTAGTCATTTTCAAGCATCTCAGAATTTATAGAAGCAGATATATAGCCCTAATGGTTTCTTTATATAAGATAGCAATCTTTGCAATATTCATAGAACATGTCTATAGCATTTATTTTAGTATATAACTAGTTTTTTGTAGAGCACAGAATTATATAACAGTAATGATAGTATATAAATTTAGGTCTATGATAAATATATATGCACAGGTCTATTTTAAAGATATCTGATTTAATTTGCATTGATCACATGATTATATAGAGGATTTCTATTGGCTATTATATTAAAAAAATAAAAATTTTAAAAACTCATTTTGCTGACCCGGCCAGGATATAAAAACTGAAAATATAAATTTGCATGGCCTAATATATAGTATGTTTTAAAGATTTTTTTGATTAAAAATATTTTGATAACTAATTAATTAAATTTGATAAAATTTTTTTATTTGAATTTTACAAATTTATGGAATTTAAATAAAAAAATTTTTACACTCTTCCTAATAATTACTCATACCAAATTTATAACTAATGAAAACAAAAACTTGTTTGAGAAAAATAGAAGAGACAACTATACAAGTAATAGTTTTTACAAAGGTTAAAGTTCTTTTATTTGTTACTGGACTTCTTTGTATATCTGGCAAGCAAGTTAAAAATATTACTATGCAAGATAACTAGCAAGAAGGTGGTGCCTTTATACAAAAATTTTAATAAAAATATATATTTCTGCTAACAAAGTGAAAAGATAGTTGGTCTAAAAAGAGAACAACAAGTGAGTTTATAATATACTCTTTATCGAAGTTTAAGAATATCTGCAATTTAAACCTTCTTTATCATTCTACTTTTTTAAGTAGTTGTACTTTGCAAATTTTAATAATGATGAAAAGTAAGAAATCTGACATACCCCTATCAAAAGATCAATATAACATACCAATCCTTGCTAAAAAAGAAAACACATATATATATATATGCATGTGTTTATTTTAGTAAATAGTAGATAACTTCTTAATTTAGTTAATTATATAGGGCTAGAACAGAAAAGAATATATTTTGAATTGCAGAATTTTTGAAGAGATGTGTATAAAATTTGAGAACCTTTTACTTTATACTTGATAAGACAGAAGTTCTGATTATAGATATAAGTAGCTAGATAGGTTTTGACTAGTTTACTTAGTAGTTTTATACAATTTTTATAATTTTGCACAGGTTTAATAGTACTATCTTTGTTTTTTTTTCTTTGTTTTATTTTTTTCATTATATATTTTATTTGGTTTTATTTGTTTAGATAGATCTTATTATACTGTTGAGATATTTCTTTACTTTTTTTATCTGCTCTTTAAATTTGTATTTGTATTTTATTAATACAAGAAGAAAAGTTAATACTAATATAGTGTGTGGCACTAGCTGATGAACAAAGAAAATAAGTTCTTAGTAAGTTAAAGACCCAGAGAGAGGCTTAGACCACTAAGACTAGTTATAGCTAGATATATAGTACTTGAGTAGGTCATTTGTAAGTAGATAATAGCTATTAAATAATTCATATAATTATATAATATAGTTATAGACTTAATAAAACAAATAGCAGAATATAGCTAAAATATAAAAAAAATAAATAAAAAATAAATAAAAAAATTTTATTAAATTTGATTATTTATTGCCAAATCATACTTTGTAAATAATTTTAATACAGTTTTTATATAATATATATTTTAAAAATTTTTTAAACTTTGATTAAAGATATCTTAGCAATCAATTAATTAAATTTAATAAAAATTTTTTTATTTAAATTTTACAAAACTATAAAATTCAAATAAAAAATTTTTATTAAATTTGGTTAATTAGTTGCTAATATTTTTAATCAAACTTTTATAAACAATTTTAAAATAGTTTTTATATAGTATATATTTTAAATTTTTTTTTAAACTTTGATCAAAAATATTTTGACAACTAATTAATTAAATTTAATAAAAATTTTTTTATTTAAATTCTAAAGAATTATAAAATTTAAATAAAAAATTTTTTATCAAATTTGATTAATTGATTGCTAAGATATCTTTAATTAAAGGTTAAACAAATATAAAAAAATAAAATAAAATTGTATAATCTATATATACTATAGTATTAAGAGCAAAAATTTATAGTACAAATAATAATTTTTATAAAAAAATAATAAAATTAAATTTAGGGAACTGCTATTCGCACCATGGGTTTTTGCTATTCACACCATGAATATGCATTATGTCGATTATTTCGATTATATCACATATTATGCTTAAAATCATATCACATTAACTGTTAACAGTTTAACGTTAAGTAATTTTCTATTGCACGTATATACTATCACAGGAAGTTTTGATATGGGATAACAATTATTACTATATTTAGTAAAATTGTAAATAGTGTAAAGATAGTCAAACCAGTAATAATTGTTAATCACGTAATATCTGTAAAACCATCAAGGATATAAATATGGAAAATATAGTAAAATTAGTTTATCATGTAAAAGATGAAAAATAAGAGAAATAAGTAAATAATAGCAATTATGTAACAAGCCAAAAGTTATAAAAGACCTTTGGTTTTGCTCTTGTTAACAACAACCCTCGGGTTTCGAACATTGAATAAATAAAATTGATCTTTTTAATTAAATAATCAAAACTCTGTTCTTTATTAAGTTATTTTTACAAAGTTATATCGTTAAATAAATTAGTTGCATAAATTATTGCTTTTTCTTATTCAATAAAACCTTGATTCATTAAACTCATGATTTACGTGACCCACGCTGGTAGAACCTTTGCATCATTAAACCCGACTTTCGTTAGTTAAATAGCTTCTTGCATAATTAAAGAAATAAGTTGGTGATTAATAAAAGAAAAAACGATATAGAGAAAGCTATAAGATAAGAGAGAATTCATCTTATTCGACCAAATCATATGCATCAGCTGAGAGAGCCTTAACCGCTTAGATATTTTTTTACATTACGCAAAAAATCTGATTCTGAACCAACAAAGTCGGATCATTTTGTTGTTGTTTGTTGATTGATATTTCCGCTAGTAACAATACATACGTACGTACATACAAAGTGTCTATTTAGAGAAAATTTATATGATGGGTATATTTCGTATTTATGGTAAGTGCGATTATATAGGTATTTTTAATTTCTCGTGCTTGTTTTATACTATTTACTTTCTTAAAGCCACATATACTTCTACTTTAATATCTTTACTGATCTGTGATTTGGAGACTGGTTCATATATATATTTGCAATATACCAAGCATAGATATTAGTAAGAGAAAAGTCATTATTATAGTAATTTATAAGATCGTGAAATTAATTAGAATCGCATTATATTAAGGTCTATAATACCCATTACTAAGCGCAGGGAATTCTTGTTATTAAGAATACTTGCCTTATATATTTTTATTTACTACCACTATGGTTTCATCCCAAATTCAGCACATGCATCAGTCTTGAACAATTATTACATTATAAAGTGATTTCAATAAGTAACTAGCATACAAATAGATAACATTAAATTGTAACAGAATAATTTGCATAAACTTGAATATATTTAGGTCTAAGCATCTTTTCTAATAATTTATTTGTAACTTTCAAATACATTTAATAAAGCATAAATGAATAATCAATTTCTGCATGTTATTGAAATTTTTAGTTTGTCAATTGTAGTTCCCTAAACGCAAAAACTTAAATTCAAGTATTATCGCATAATTTTGCTGTTAAATTGTACAGTATTTAAAATCAATCCGGATTTAACTATTTTGATATTTAATCATTGCCTATTTTAAACTAGTGAAAATTTTTTTATCATCTCTAGGTGAAACCGCATTATTAGGTTACCTCTTTTATATAAATCTTATACTATTTTAGGTAGTTATACTAGCATAATGACTTTTGACACGAAACATGAAGAAGTGTTAATACTTGTTTCAGTATTTGAACTGATATACTCGAATATTTCAAATCAATTAGGTAAAGTAAAAACTATTGTAATGAAAACACGAAGTAGCAATACAAAGTGTTAGTATGTTAATGATACTTATTCAAAAAAAAAAATTAGAATTAAATATGTAATATAATATATATAGATACATAAAAAATCAATATTATTAAGTCAGCTATGTAGTAATGCAAGAAAGAAGTGGATGAGTGTTAATAATACTTATCTTAGAAAAATGTATATCTTAGATCTAAATATTATATTAGTAATATAAATATTAAATATTACAATAATGATTGAGATGCAAGACATAAAGCGGCAAAGTGTTAATGCTTATCCTGTAATAATAAAAAAAAAGTTATATAAATAGAATTAAAATGATTGTAATGCAGAAAAGTGGCGAAGTGATGATAATAATACTTATTCTGGAAAAGTGTGTCTTAGATTAATATATTCGAAATATTATTAATGAGAAAATAATAACGATTGTAATAATGATTGTAATGCAAAGTAAATTGCTTTCAAAGGTTATAAAAAAAAGCTTGTAGTCTATCAAATTAAAGAAATATAATATTTATCCAAATAGAATACATCACTCTAGACTTTTAAAATCATGTCTTTGACTCCTCTATCTACTGGTTGCTTTGAAAGTCGTGAAGCTCTAATCCAACATGCCCAATCTCATGCCCTTAATTATGGATATGCTGTATGCATTAAAAAATCAGAACGAGATAAATTCGTTTATCTGTGCTGTGATAGAGGTGGTGTCTATAGAAATTCTCTAAATCTTACAGACGAAACTCGTCAAAAGGCCACGAGTTCACACTTAATAGATTGCCCTTT